CCCCCCCCCCCCCCCCCCCCCCCTTTAACACTCTGTCCTGCCCCCGTTGCTATGAAAATGAATATGCATGTAACTAAAAACAAGCTACTTTCTCTTTTTGCAGTTATAGATGCACAAAAAACTGGCTGCTTTTTGAGTCTGTGTGTGTGTGTGTGTGTGCACCTGCTGATTTGTCCTTTATTGTACATAATGTTGAGTATGCTCGAATAATGAACGACATGGTTGGTCAACTGTGTAAACTTAAGACTACTATTTTGCCCTTTGGTGTTCTGCTAGAAAATAAGTTATTTATTTCCTCGGTATTCAACTAGTTTACTATTTTGAGAAAGTATTGTTCGGTCTGTTATTTTGTAAATCTATTGTCAAAGAAAATACATCAAATATATAATGTAAGCGAAAAATACAATAAAATAATATTAGGTTCTTAACTCTTTCTACGAGATGTCACTTTCATGGTATCTCACTGTTCTGGGTGTTATTAGTCATTAGAGGATTGTATTAATAGTGTTCTGATTGCAATTAACCAGTATTTTTCCAAAGGTGAGATAATGTGGACGAAGATGTTACATTTGAAGTAAAAAATAAACAAATAATTGTTTTAGTTAAAAGTAAATTAATGGGGAGAATAACATGGTACTTAGATTCTCTTAATATTCAGTGCTCACGGGTCAGCACATTCAAACGTGCCTTCACCAACCAATCACGTTGCAGTTTGCATCCTATTAGTCGTTTGTGTTAAACTGTCATAATAAGCATGGGAATTATTTTGCAAAAAAACATGGTTTGTGAGGTCATAGTGACTTTTAAACCACCAAAAATCGAGTCAGTTCCTCCTCGAGTCCAAGTGGGTATTTGTTCCAGATGTAATGTGAGGCGTTCCTGAGATACAAAGGGCTACGAACAGACAACCTACCAGAAACAAAAAGCATGTCATTACTTCCTGCTAGTGGTAGCGGCGTCTCGCTACACGGATGGTTTTGGTTTAAGATTTCTGCCTAAAACAAATACAATAGAGGTGAATGGAATATTATTTGGGGTGCTAACAGCTTTGCAATTTGATTTAGAGAAGTATTTTAAGGTATTTTATGTTAGATATGCTTATTTGTATTCTGTGCTAGAATTAGGTGAGAAGATAGACACCAGCGTCAGAGACTCGCCTCAATGGTTTCTGGGTGGCTGCAGAAATATTCAGAAACAGATATTTGAGAACCGGGTCTCATTAAACCAAACTGTCATGGCTATAGTGGGAACACGTGGCCCTTTAACTCTGGAGTGTGACGGCGGCCTCCATCACAATCAAGAGACTCTCCAGTTCATTGTTCACAATCTATCCTGATTATGTTTCATAAAAAAAAACAATCCAACGCAAACAAACAAGTTCAACACGACTCTCGTTGGCAAGAAACAACTCGGCTGGAGTTTCTCTTTGTTTATTACAAGAATATTGATTATATTTTTGGTTTGCACTGAAACATGAAAATACAATGCTTGGGTAACCGGCTACACTAATTTGGTTGAACAGGCATCACAACCACTCGGGCCAAAACACTTCCACTCGTCCAATCATCCACACATTCCCACAATGCAAAGCTCCACATGAAACAGGATTACACTACATATGCCGACGAAACACACACACGAGCACTCACTTACCATCAAATGAATTCACTTCTGTGACGACTACATCCACTATCCACACAGTTCCATATACACACACACACACACACACACACACACACTACTGTTAGGGCATCACTGTTCGCAGTTATTGTTATTAGATAAAAAAATACAACAGGATTGGAAAACACCATCTATTTCATATTGGTCATATACACTGTGCACATCACTTGATTGATACGTCATGGTTGTTAACCAGAACACTTAAAAGCACTTTCAACTGGCTATCAGACCGGACTCACGAAGGAGAGGAGATAAATATTGAGAGAGAATTGATTTCATGGAGACAGTACGATGTGTTCATCAGACGATCAGCTGTGTCTAGTTAAGAGTCAAACATCGGATGTTTCATCACCTTCAGAATTTGTCTGCGACTTAGAAAATAACAAACATGAACCAGTCGCCTCTTCTGAAGACACTTTTTAAAAAAAAACAAAAAAAAAACAGCGGTATTGTAAGAACCATGATTACCTCTGCCAGGTAACACATCAAAGGATTCATTGGTTGCCATAGCAATGGCACTTTTGGAAGAATCTCTTTCCTTTGCCCAAAGCGCCCGCCTGACACTGCTATCAATGTGACTGATAGAGAACTCCAACATTCAGATGTTCATTAGTGCTTCAGACTTGTAAATCTGTGGTTCACCTCTGTTGGTAAACTGAATCTGCGACCGCGGGGGTGAAGCATGAAGGAGCGAACAGCTGTCTTGGTGGCGTCTGTTAACCCCGTGAGTCACTCGGGCTTCATTTCCCTGGTGACTCGCTGGCTGTCGAGCAGGAAACCCTTCATCGTTAAAATAATCCTGTTATGAGGTAAGCGAGAGCGCAACAGCCTCTCAAAATCAAATGTCCCGCGATGCCGCTTCTCGATACGCTGGGACTAAAATGTCACAATATACCATGGGTATTAGAAACAGTTTTTACGGCTGCTGTGAGAAGCAAGCTGAGCCCTTCTATGATTAAGTTAATGAATACAGTACATTAGTTATAACTGCGCGACCTGAGGCAACAGGACTACATCCAGGACTACATCCAGGTGTGAATAGTCACACAGTCAGCTCACAGAGTCTCTTCATGGTATTCAGGAGTTTAACCAGTACGGTCCTTACATCTTGTTATGTGTCGGTTACCAGTCAATGTCATTCTTGTTGTGCCTCAATTGTCCTTCGACAGGTAGCCCATGTGCGTGTTGGTGATGAAGTCACAGGTGGGGACACTACTGACGGCCTGGTGGATGTTCATAGCTGTGATCTCTCTTGGAGCTCTGCAAAAACCCAACGGTACAAAGTTAGGCACAACACACAGGAAATAGGTTTCAGTCGGCTGGCTTCTGAATATTTAGGGAATCTCTGAATCAAAGCATTTCGAAATCTCCAATATCAGTTCAGTGCCCCGCTGTCTTACATCCTGCAAATGGAACAAAGCAAAACAAAATACTCTGCGGGAAAAGACGGTCAAATTTACTGATGTTTAACCAAAGCATGTAATGACAAAAAACTAAAAAGGTGCAACTCCCTGGTTTCAGCAGGTGAGGTATTTAAGGTCATTAAGATTGCAGATGTTTATCTTTAAATTATTGAATTTAAGTTGCTGTAACTTCTTCATTTCGATATTGTTCCGAGACAATTATTATTATTTATAGATCTTTCTTGTTGTGAACGAGTTAAGAATAATCCGAGTAGCAAAACTGCCGGCTCGGATATAATGAATGAAGTGAAAACTGGAGCATGAAGCAGGTTGCATGTTGGAGAGAGCGACAGAGTGAGAAGAGAGGCTGACCTGTTCTGAGGGGATTTGGCGAAGGCCCCGGCCAGAGCTTCTCTCAGGACATCGCTGGCAAACTGTTCAGTAGCCTGCAGAGCGCAGGCACACACGCGCACACACACGCGCACACACACACACACACACACACACACACACACACACACACACACACACACACCATTAGTCACAAAGAAACCCACTATCCTGTACAGCACAAGGTGAAACACGCGATACAACGTGCAGGTGCACACATCTCAGACATGCTGTATATTCATCATTCTAGTCGAGGGTATACTGAGGTACTGATGAGCCTGCAGAGTGACCGACCTTCAGAATCATGGCTTCCACTATTGGAGCGAACACATTTTTCTCCACCTCGACTGGCTGGAAGGTTACCCCGATCTGAAAGAGAAGGATATAATATATTATATAAAAGCGGAGAACGTGGTAAAACTTCTAGTTCAACATTCAGTTACTAGAAGCAACACAATACCATGATGTTATTGTTTAAATTTATAAACTCTCCCTGCATTTTCACTTCGAAAACCCAAGAGAGAGGTTCCTTACTTGCTGCGCTGTTTCACTGACAAACTGAGCGGACACGCAGGGGCCCAGGAAGAACTTGGGCTCCGAATCGGCCTCTGGCTCCTCTTCTTTGACCTTTAGCTTCTGGCAGGGAGGGGTGACGGTGACGATGTCGACGATTTTGTCGTCGGCCTCCTCCGGTTCAGTCTTCAGCAGAGCTTGCATCTGCTCCAGCCGCAGCACCAGCTCCTCGCAACTATTCAGGGTCGTCGGGCACTCTGCGGACCGATGCACACGCACATTTAACACACCAGTTCACAAGCAGCAACAGCAGCTGCCTCAGGGCTTCACTCAGCGGCGCGTCGTGTGGCTGTGTGTGTTTAACAGAAGAATGATGGGGGAGCTTTTGGAGAATATCGGCTCATTTTACCAGTTTAACAATTAAAATTGTATTTGTGCAAGAAGGAAGAGACGAGGACAACACAAACGCAGATTATCATATTGTCTGGCTCAGGCAAGTGTGTGACTCACTGAGCTGAGCAGCCTCGTCTCTCACCCTTTACAGACGAAAGACAGAATTAATGAGAACTCCCTGTGAATACAACAACGCGGCTGAACAACAACAACACCGACGCTGCAACCGGGACGCTGCAAACACATTACTGGTAACCGCAGAAGCACTACACCCACAACACTGAAGGGAGACTATGGATCCACTTTGAACAGAGTGAACAAAGCAAAGCACATAATCCCTGTGAAGAAGCTACGCACCAAAAAACACACATACACACTCACCGGGCTCGTTATCTATCTGAGTGAGGATGTCCTCGATGGACTCGTCGTCATTCTTGCGTTGGGGTTCGAGGTCAGGTGGTGTGTAGCCCCTCTGCCGGCACCACTGTGCCACCTCTCTGGTCTTTGGGGGGGTG